TCCTGGGATTATAAACTTTTCTCTTTAACATACGTGCAGTTTTAAGAGTTATTCATTTTTACTTTGTTTGATAAAACTCAAGTGGCACCTACATGTACACCATCCCCCAAATTACACAACTTGGTTATAGAATCTTAAGACTTTTCATTATCCTTCTGTTTCTTTTATCTTTCAAAGGGGAAAAAAAAGGTTTTCACAGAATCTTGAACAAATTACAGTAATTTAAAATTATGCATGCAATTAAGGAACTTTTTTTAGAGAGTATTAAATGTTGTCATACAGCAATGAATGTCATTTTGAGCAATAATTGCAGTTTGCCACTTTGGTAAATTAAAGCAACTTGCTCTGGGATGATTACTTGCTAGACATATTTTAATTTCAGTGGCATGCCAGTGATCTCCAGCAAGGTAGTTTGCTGTTGCTGGACCAGGGTCATGCCAGCCAGGGCCTGGCTGGCCCAGTGTGGTCATTGGTGCCAGTGCCTCCAGGCTCCAATCCAGCTGGTTGTTTTGCTAGTGTTGTCTCTTAGGACTGGCTGCCAGCCACAGACCGTGGCCTCAGGAGAATTCGGGTTGTGATTCTTTTCTCCTCTGAAGGCAGGGAGGAGAGGAGGACTGGGAGGAGAGGAGGATATACTTAGCTAGAAAACTACAAAGTGCCATGCAGGCCAGCACCATGTCTGTTCCTCACAATTGCATTTGCTTTGCCTACCTCCATCCCCCTTTTTTGTTTTCTTGCATTCATTAAATCCAGAAGTTTATAGATAATATTGCCACTTCCAAGTGTTGTCCAAGGAGGGCTTCTGTGATGATCAGAAAATTTCCATTTACTCAGGAAAGAATTTATAGGGCGGATCATTTAAACACCTTCTTTTAATGCAATGCAGTCTTAGTTAGAGATGTTGCTTCCACTGCTGGACTGCTCTAGACATAATTGGCTTTGTGCTCAGAGCTGATCTTTGCCTTACCTGCTCTGAGCCTCAGTTTTCTCACCTATAAAATAGAAAAGAAGAGCTCGTCTTGTAGAGAGATCAGAAACATCACCGAAGGGCCGGCCCATGGCTCACTTGGGAGAGCGTGGTGCTGATAACACCAAGGCCACGGGTTCAGATCCCTATATAGGGATAGCCAGTTAGCTCACTTGGGAGAGCGTGGTGCTGACAACACCAAGTCAAGGGTTAAGATCCCCTTACCGGTCATCTTAAAAAAAAAAAAAAAAAAAGGAAGCCTCACCAAGGTGTTAAAATTCTTGGGAAAGTACTTGGCATTTATTACATGTTCAAGTGAGTTATTTTTATTAGTGCTTCACCTCACCTCTGGAAACTGTGACTCTGCTATAGGCACCTGGGAATTTCTGGATGTGCCTAGTGGTGGTTATTAACAGGAGCTGCCTGCCTTGAGGGTTTGATGGCTCCTAGTGACTCACATCTGTTCTCAACTCTGCATGAGTTTTCCCAGTTGGTCTGTGCTGGTGAACAGCCCAGAGTGGGCACACAAGGTGATGTAGACAAAAGACCAGACCTCCAGGTCACCAGGTGCCTTGGGCAGAGCTCCTTCAGGACCTGGGCTCTTGTCCCTTCCCATGACTCCATGAAAGGGTGATTATAACAATAGCAATTAGTATTTATTTAGCACTTACAGGATGCTAAGTGCTGTGCACACACACAAACACATGTATTTGTATGAGTACATACACACTTTTTTTTTTTTTTTTTCCTTTTTGTCTCTTTTTTACTGACCGGTAACGGGATCGCAACCCTCGGTGTCGCGCCCGTACCGGGGACCGGCAATGGGATCGCAATCCTCGGTGTTGTGCCCACACCACGCTCAGCCAGTGAGCAGATCCGGTCTCCACATGGGATCTGAACCCTCAGCGGGAGCGCTGCCGTGCTCCCAAGTGGCGCACTCTCCAGTGCGCCACCGGGCCGGCCCATACATACACTTTTCATGTTCATTTTTAATCATTACAACCACCCCATGAAGTGAAACTGTTTTTATCTTCATTATTCTGATGAGGGAACCCGCTTTATGATGGTCTAAGGCAGTTGGTGGCTTGCCCCAAGTCACACGGCTTTAGGTACCTGACACTCAGCAAGCCCATGGTCTGCAGGTGTGTTTATCACCTGACATGATTACAGCGCCAGCTGCCACCTACAATCACTTGGGAGATCTGAGTACCAGAGCCCCCGCCCCAGCCAAGTCAGAATCTCCAGGGGTGAGGCCTGGGCATTGGAAACTGTCAAGCTCCCAGGTGGCTTCAGTGTGCAGCAGGGTGAAGAACCGTGGGTTAAGGGAAGGCCCACACCCTGATGAGAATGGTGAAAATACCCACAGCGTTGTCCCACCAAAGGAGACGTTGTTCCCAGTAGCAGATGGAGTGTGAACTGAAGGCAAACATCTTCACGGAAGCTCTGCCCCTAAGAACATACCTTCCTAGTTAAGTTCTTATAAGGTATTCACCATAGTGCTCAAAGTATACCTTCTTTCACAGTGTCAGCGAAGAGTACCCATCAGGTGGAATGGGTGGCATATTACCGTTTTCTGAGAAGGCACCTGTGTTAGTCAGGGTTCTCCAGAGAGACAGAATCAATAGGATATGTGATAATTACACAAGAGGGATTTATTAGGGGAATTAGCTCACGTGACTGTGAAGAAAAGTCCCACGATAGGCCGTCTATAAACTGGATGCCGGTAGCGTGGCTCAGTCCAAGTCCAAAGGCCTCAGAACTAGGGAAGCTGATGGTGTCGTTGGGGTAAGTTTTGGAACCCAAAAGCTGAAGAGTCTCAAGTTTTGATGTCCACGAACAGGAGAGAAGAGTGTATCACAGCTCCAGCGGATCGAGAGAGAGAGCTTCACCTCTTTCCTCTGTCTTTTGTTCTCTCCAGACCCCCAGTGGATTGGATGGTTCCCACCCACACTGAGGGTGGGTCTTTCACACTCAGGCCACTCAGACTCTCGTACTAATCTCTGCTGTAAACACCCTCACGGACACACCTGAAAAGATAGCTTTACCAGGTTTCTCAGCAGTCCTTCATCTAACCAAGTTGACATCTAGAATTAACCTTCACAGCACCTGAAGCACAGAGAGGTAGAGTAATTTTCTGAGCAGAGACCTAGAGCAAGCAATCCTTTGGCATCTGCATCTTTGGAATGAGCATTTCAGGCAGAGGTTGGGAGACAGGGTCTGCTTGACATTGTTGCAGGATAAGCTTTGGGCCCAAGTGGCCACAGTGAGGGAATCCAGGGGAAGGTCTGGAGAGAAGGTCAGAGAGGAGCCTGGAGGCCTGGATCACACGGGCTTCGTGCTTCAGCAGCAACCAGGACGTCTTGAAATCTCACGCTTTGGGATCTAACCTGTCAATATGTTTTTATGAGTTATGGTCTCACCGTCTGATAGTATTAATTTCCCATACCTATCAGTTTGCAAATATTCTTTCAGCTATTCTTGTAGACACATGTCACTGAAATACCCTGAGTTTTATATGCCTTGTCATCTTTATGTATATTAATGATCCCTGTGTGTCTCTAGTCAATAAATGACACCATCTCTGTGGTTTTCACACTGAGTGGGCAGCCCGGGGGACCTACCAGGGTTTGGCAAGGGTTGTGATTGATGCAGATCGGGACCATTGAAGTGACCATTTGAAAAAAACATACTAGGCATCTTAACAGGTGTTTAAAGGAGTGTCATTTTTTTCTAGTGATCTGGAGATTTGGAAAAGATATTAGTATAGCTAAAATTTGCATATCTTCAGTGATTTTAATTTTTAAATCTGTGGATGGAAACTCTCCCTTATATCTGGATCCGAGGAGTTTAGTGGGTGATAGATACAGTAATCATTAGAAGCAGCAGATTATTTTCTAGGAGTGTCATGCTGCTAGCAGTCCCAGGGCACATGAACATTTCCATGAATTCTGCTTGTCTTTCAGGGACACATCCTTGTAAAGAAAAGAACATCTGTATTTTCTCTTGACTTGATCTCACTGTTAATTATTTAATTCTGTGATTATTACTTCACTGCCAGAAAAATGACTATTCTGTTTTTATTTAGGTTAAACAGTGATTTTACAAAATGTGATTCCCAAGCCACCAGCATCAGTATCACCTGGGAACTCATTGAAAATGCTCCACTCCAGATCTGCACATCAGAATACAGGCAGTGGGGCCTGAGAATGTGCATATCTTATTTCTAAATTTTTTTAATTGTGAAGAACGCTTATCAGAAAATTTACTGTCTTAACCATTTTTAAGTGTACAATTCAGTACATTCACATTATTCTTCATTAAATCTTCATAACTTTTCATCTCACAAAACTAAAAGTCTGTATCCATTGAACAACAGCTCTCATTTCACCCTCTGCCCAGGCCCAGAAATCAATGTTCTGGCCTATCTCTCTGAATTTGGCTACTCTAGGTTCCTCATAAGTGGTATCATACAGTATTTGTCCTTTTGTATCTGGCTTATTTTACTTAGCATAATATCTTAAAGGTTCATTCAAGTTGTAGCATGTGTCAGAATGTTTTTATTTTCAAGGCTGAATAATATTCCATTGTATGTATATACCACATTCTCTTTATCCATTCATCCATTGATGGACATTTAGGTTGCTTCCACTTCTTGGCTATTGTGAATAATGCTACAATGAGCATAGATGCACACATATCCCTTTGAGATCCAGCCTTCAGTTCTTTTGGATAAATACCCAGAAGTGGGATTGCTGAATCATATGGTAATTCTATTTTTAATTTTTTTGAGGAACCATTATACTGTGTGCCATTGGGGCTGCACCATTTTATGTTCCTATCGATGAGAAATGTGCATTATTAACATGGTCCCAGGTGATACTCATGCACACTTAAGTTCAAGAGCCACTGGATTAAAATGATACAAAAAATCAAAGATAGCCGTCAGAAAAAAGATACTGCCCTTCTCCACAAATATTGTTGAGATTTACATCTGTGTGAAAAATTAATCTTGTTGGGGGACATTGTCCTACAGGTGAGCCGTCTCCTGATTTTGGGAGGGGCCAACGTGAACTACAGGACAGAAGTGTTAAATAATGCCCCAATCCTATGTGTCCAGTCTCACCTGGGCCATGAGGAAGTCGTCACTCTGCTCCTGGAATTCGGCGCCTGCCTGGATGGAATGTCAGAGAACGGCATGACTGCCCTGTGCTACGCGGCAGCTGCCGGCCACATGAAGCTGGTGTGTCTGCTGGTCAAGAAGGGGGCAAGGGTAAGCAGTAGCTTTCCCCACCATGGGGGAGGGCTGGAGAAGGGGGGATACCTTCACATCATTGCTAGAGTTGTCATCGCTCAGGCCAGTCTCCCTTTGTCTCTACTCAGTCTGATGGGGAAGGAGGGAATCCTTCACATCATTGCTAGAGTTGTCATCGCTCAGGCCAGTCTCCCTTTGTCTCTACTCAGTCTAATTGCGTAAACAGAAAGCACAGCATACACAGAAGAAGTAGGGCTGCAAGTGGCGGTCGGTTTGTGATGCTGCTTGCCATGGAGCAGTGTGGGCCATGGGTTTTGTTCATGTGCTGTTACTCTGCCCAGTATTGCCCAGGGGAAGGCAGAATACCAAGGAGCCTCCTGGCCACTAGCCACATTAGTCGGGCCAGCCTTTAAAAAGCCTGCAAGTGTTGACCTAGAACTTGGTGTAGAGTTTAACACAGCACCATGATTGGTTGAAAAGATTTTAAATGTCTGGTTTTTTCCCCCCTCTCGTTATCCCATTTCATGTCTTTTTTAAAACAGTAAAAGGAGTTCCGTGGGTCTTAAAAGCCATGTGCTTGAGCTGCAGGAACTAGACTGCCCAGATTCATCATCTCTCCACTTGCCAGCTGGGTCCCCCCTCTCGTTATCCCATTTCATGTCTTTTTTAAAACAGTAAAAGGAGTTCCGTGGGTCTTAAAAGCGATGTGCTTGAGCTGCAGGAACTAGACTGCCCAGATTCATCATCTCTCCACTTGCCAGCTGGGATGCTGGGCAGGTTACTGAGCCTGTGCGTGTCAGGCCTCTCACCTGTGGGACGGGCGTAACTGTATCTACCACAGAACCATTGTGTATGCATTTAATCAGTATATTAACATTCGCATGAAATAACTGTATATTATTAAACAAGTTACTCTAGAACTATCAGCATTAATAGATTAAATGAGAATGAACCCGAGCTCACAGTAAACTCTATTTAGGTTTACTATAAGCATTTTATTGGGAAATGTGTCTTTTGAATAATAGAGATTAAACCACTGATAATTGTCTTTCATCTTTTTAGTTAATTAGGATATTTAAAGTTCAACAAAAACTTGTTTTTCTCTCAAAAGTCCAACATTGGGATGTGTGAACTTCAGCTCGTGGAAGAAGGGAAATGTCACAGCTAAGCCGGAGCAGTGGGGGTGCCACACACACATCACCACACCTCCATTTCCAGATCCCGGCTGTCCCTTAGCTTTATTCTGAGGCCCCCATCTGGCTAGCTGGCTCCACCTTACATGGCAGCATGTCCCAGGTCACCTGCCTGTGCAGAGCTTCCTTCCCCACTTAGACTCCCCTGCCACTCTTCTTCATTCAGAGCTGTGTTTCCGCATCCCTCCCTTTCTCTGGCTCCCCTTACTCTGTGACCAGAGAACTGCTCTACTCCCCCAAATTGTAACTTGTCACAGCAGACTTAGAATACTACAACCACGCAACCAGGGTTGGGAAGCATAGGCTTTGGTCTGTGTCTTCGTATGTGCCCACGAGAGAACTTGGAGCTCCATGTAGTTTGCTAGAGAGACATAGGGGTGAGGAGGGTGTCTTGTGATCACTAGTCCTAAAAGGAAGCCAAGGCCTGGACCAGCGCATTCATTATCATGAAGTGACTCAGACAACAGTTCAGTGCTCTCTGGAAGGATGAATTGGGATGGGGTTTGTGCACTGTGTTTGTGGTGCCCCTATTCCCTCAGAGGAGAGGCGATGCTCACCTGTGCCCTTCCGCTGCTCCTGCCACCAGATGGACCACTTGGATAAGAAAGGCCAGTGTGCACTCGTCCACAGTGCACTGCGGGGCCATGGCGACGTTCTCCGGTACCTCCTGAACTGTGAGTGGTCAGCAGGCCCTCCCCAGCCAGGTGCACCAACGAAGAGCCAAGCCCTGCAGCAGGCACTGACGGCAGCCGCCAGCATGGGCCACAGCTCGGTGAGTGGGGTCCAGGGGTTCTTTCCTGGGAAACGGAAGCAGCAGTGGTACCCAGTGGGTCGATTTCTTTTGACAGTCGCCGCCTTCTAAGCTACAAGGCTGTGACACACTGAAGGAATGGAAGAAAATGAGGATTTCAAGAGCTAGCAAGTGGCTTTGAGCACTCTCAGTAGAAGGTCCGCTCTTGGCACCACGTCCCTCCCACCAGTGGAAACCAGAGGAGAGGCCACAGTCTCGCATGCATGCGGTGGGGACAGGCGGGTTGGTTCTTCCCCTGTGGGTTGGGCTCCCATGAGGGGCCTCTTGGTGCTGCTCATTCTCTACCCTTCCTTGTCTGTCTCTCTCTCTTCTTCCCTGTTCCACTTTTACCCTCTAGCTCTGCTGTTTTACATTTTTCCCCTTTGACTCGTTCTTTTGTCCTTGTGATCTTTTAAAAATAATCACATGGAATGCTACTTCTAAAATTATTTTTGAGTATTTGAAGGACTTTTGCAAGTAGAACTTTAGTGCTTTGATAGCATGTAAGAACGCTTGTCATTTGCAGTTCCTACACTGAAGAAAAACTTCATGCAGCAGTTAAATAGAGCATTTGTTTCTAGTAAATGTCAGTATCCCTTAATTTGAAGATTTAATTGCTGTCTCCTGACCTGTGTGTCTTAGCTTTATCTGTAAATTTAATAACATTGTTCTCGATGTCCTCCATGTATTTTGCACTCTGTATTATCTTTGAGCAATTAGAGGTGACAGTATTTGGTAAAATTCTTTCCCCAGAATGACTTAAATTTGAGTGCAAAGATGTCTGGCTGACTTCTGGCACTTAAAACATTAAAAACACACATGCACATATATATACATGTTAAATACACATATCTGAAAAGTAGATGTTTTTCCTCTTTAAACCATTGCCTAAATCTGAGTGGGTCTGTGTATTAGTCCATTCCTGTTGCTTGTAACAAAATACTTGAAACTGGATGATTTATAAAAAAAACAAAACTTATTGCTTTCAGTTTCTGAGGCTGGGAAGTCCAAAGACCATCTGGTGGTGGTGACAGTGACCCAGAGATCTCACGTTGCAAGATGGTGGAAACAGAGAGAGCAAGAGACAGGCTTTCCTCTTCTTTTAAAGCCCTCAGAACCATGCTCCTGGCCACTATTATTAATCCATTCACTAGTGCACAGTCCTGCCATCCAATCACCTCATCAAGGCCCTACCTTTCAATTACCATAATAGCATTTCCCACCCTCTTAACAGTCACGGTGGGGGCTAAGTTACAAATACATAAAACTTGGGGGACACAATTCAAGCTTCAGTGAGTTTTGGGGGACATAATTCAATCTGCTACAATCCAGAATACAGAAAATCATCATTGGGAGGTCTGTGAACGCCACAGGTAGGCATGACCTTCATCTCAACTCCTGTGTATCCCCTTATTTTAAAGCTAGCTGGGAGGAATTCTGAGCAGAAGTAACCTCAGCACAACCAGTAACCATTTAATCAAAATAAGCAGGATTCACTCACCAAAAGCCTCGAAGGGTTGATCAGTTTCCTAATGCTGTTGTAAGAAATGGCCACACACTTAGTGGCTCAAGACCATACACACTTACTCTTACAGCTCTGGAGGTCGAAGTCTAAAGTTAAGGCGTCAAGAATCCGATGTTGCTTCAGAAGGCTCTAGGGGAGAGTCTGCTTCCTTGCTTTTTCTAGCTTCTTGAAGCCACCTGTATTCCTTAGCTCGTGGCCCCCCCTTTCTGTGACCAGATTCCTCCTGTCCCTCTTGTAAGGACTGTTGTTGTTATATCAAGGTGTGTCAGATATACACCCTGATAATTCAGGAAAACCACCCCATTTCAAGACATAATCACACCTGCAATTCCCTGGTATGCATTTAAGGTAATGCTCACAGCTTCCAGGGATTAGGATGTGGACATACTTGGGGGCCGTCCTTCAGCCTCCCACAAAGGGTATGGACTGGGAACTGGAAGGTGCTCTGTTTTGTTCTCCGGCCACTGCTATTGCTCAGGGTGAACGTTGGCTCTGGCCAGAGCACAGATGCTTCCATCCCCTTGAAAGACACTATTCTTGCCTCCACTCCTATGACCTAGCCTGCTCATTAACAGGAATGTTGGAAAAGAATAGTGCTGCCAGTAGAAAAGTGATTTGGAAAATATTTTTTTAAAAAGAAATTATTGGAAAAAGGTACATATCACCTTGTTTTTCTTCCTCGTGAAAAATGGATTCACCATCTTCTGGTGATTTATGCAGAAACTGCACTTTGTGTGATCTGCCCTGTCCTTTGTTGATTAGGCTGGCATATTTGGGTCATGTTGGAATTCATTAGAATTCTAAGTACCTAGTAATCCTGAACAATGTTGCTGAAATTCACTGAGATTTTTTTTTTTTTACATCAAGGTGTGTCAGATATACACCCTGATAATTCAGGAAAACCACCCCATTTCAAGACATAATCACATCTGCAATTCCCTGGTATGTATTTAAGGTAATGCTCACAGCTTCCAGGGATTAGGATGTGGACATACTTGGGGGCCGTCCTTCAGCCTCCCACAAAGGGTATGGACTGGGAACTGGAAGGTGCTCTGTTTTGTTCTCCGGCCACTGCTATTGCTCAGGGTGAACGTTGGCTCTGGCCAGAGCACAGATGCTTCCATCCCCTTGAAAGACACTATTCTTGCCTCCACTCCTATGACCTAGCCTGCTCATTAACAGGAATGTTGGAAAAGAATAGTGCTGCCAGTAGAAAAGTGATTTGGAAAATATTTTTTTAAAAAGAAATTATTGGAAAAAGGTACATATCACCTTGTTTTTCTTCCTCGTGAAAAATGGATTCACCATCTTCTGGTGATTTATGCAGAAACTGCACTTTGTGTGATCTGCCCTGTCCTTTGTTGATTAGGCTGGCATATTTGGGTCATGTTGGAATTCATTAGAATTCTAAGTACCTAGTAATCCTGAACAATGTTGCTGAAATTCACTGAGATTTTTTTTTTTTTTTAATTCTTCTCCAAGTGAAAGTGTGAGTAGCATATGAATTATGCTTGAAAATGGTTCTCATATTTTCTCTCCTTGTGCAGTATGAGATAATAATGGTTAAAAAAACACACACTCTCCTTTGATACATGGGATATAATAAGCACCTATTGCTGTGAGAACTCATTAAATCACCTTGCCACTTCTGACAGGTGGTCCAGTGCTTGCTGGGAATGGAAAAGGAACATGAAATAGAAGTCAATGGCACCGACACATTGTGGGGAGAAACAGGTAATTATGGTTCCAGGGCTTGTAGTCTGGGGCAGCTTACTTGATGTTTTAGCCCGTTTGGGCCTAATTGTCTTAAGAATGACTTGTGATGCGTGTAGTCCTATTTTTATTTTATCATGAGGCATTTGAAGCTTAGAGCTTTTTAAACTTTCCAAATGAGTAGTAGAACTTTGCTAGAAGCTTATAAAATTTGAATCATTTGCATTAAACCAGCAGTTAACTGTGCATCTGATAAATGTCAGATGGAAATACCTCAATAAGGTAGTACTTTGTAGTTTGCTAACTCCTCACATATCCTAACCAGCCTGGTCTTCCTATGACCTGGGCAAAGGAGCCAGGCAGGAACTTGCATATCTGTTTGCAAATGAACCAGTGGTGGCTTGGTAAGGAAGGCTGGCCCGCCCTGCCTTGTGGAAGGAGGGTAGAGCTCAGGCCTCACGGGGCCTACTTAATATACTGAGTATAAGCTGTGCATCCGTTTCCACTGGCCTGGGTATGTGTGTATAACTATAGTGAGAAGGAAGCCTGAGGTGAGTACATCTTAATGAAGCAAGATGTAAGTTGGTTACTTGTCACATTAATGTAGATAATGCCTTGAAATTTTCCACTTGACTGAAATTAGTGTTAGAAATCTAAGACTTAAAATTATGAGTCGTTTTTTAATAAATGTAACTAAGAGTGTTTAATATGCATTTCCAGGTTATGTTCTGTGTGTGTACATAGTGCATATGATTTCCATTTCTCTTGCACAGATTTGTTTCCAGGTGCTTCTAAATTATTTCCTAACAAGCCAAATGGTGGTGTGGAGAGGTTATTAGCTAACTCACACTTATGAAAAGCCTGTGAGGTGTTGCTGGAGGGATTGCAGGCTGCCCTGCGAGCCTCATGGTTTCCCCTTGCTCATTGTGGGGCCAGAGGAGGAGCTTGGCGTGGCCTGGGCTACAGAGAAAGCACAGGACTGCAAATGGGGTTGGATTATGCTGAGAGCCAAAGTGTGTATATTAAAATGTTTATGGAGTCCTTCCCCTACCCTTTTAACTTGTAAAATCTGTTCCATACTTTGGTGAAAGAAAAGTTTCCATCAACTTCCATGTTGCATTGTGGGCAGCAGTGCGGCTGAGGGGGTAAGAACGTGCCTTTGCTGATAGCCAGAAGGTGCAAATCCTTGCACTTCTGTTGCCTCGTTTAGCAACTGGACAAGTTACTTTTCCTCCTTGTCAGATGAGGTAGAACCTGACTTCTAGGATTGTGATGAAGACTAAAAGAGATAACAATCTTGCCCAAATGCACCCCTGATAAGAATCTCTGGGGCACTTACACCTAGATATTCTGATTCACTAGGTCTAGGGAGAGCCCAGGACTCTTGTTTTCTTAACACGCATCAAGGGACTCATAGCTTCAGGAAAAATAGAGAACCACCACACAGTCACCTAGAATGCCTGACCTTTGGTGGCATGCAGTGAGAGGTACCCATGATGACGATGGAGGTTAGTGCTAGTGGTAGTAACACCACACATCTTCAGATCACTTTGCAGCCTGGGAAGCAGTTTCTATCCTTCCTCAGCAGATATTAGGGTGAATTTCATCAGCCAAGAGTTTATTTGAGGGACTTGTAAAAATTTAAACCAAGAAAAGGCAAGCTGAGACTATTTTTAGAAATAGAAATAGAAAGCCACAGTGGCTCTCTATGGACTTCATGTCAGTAAAACCAATGTTACCTTCTCTGTGCATCTTTCTCTCTGATACCTTTCTCTTGTGTTCCTTCAAAAATGGTCACCATTGTCTGCTGCCCCAGACCCTCCACTTTCCAAGTCTGTGTTTGTGAAGGGAGATGGGGCTTTACATGAATGCATGCTGCAGTGTCCAGAATGTGAGGTCTATGTTCAGGATTTGGTCCTGTGGGGCCCATGGTACCTGCCCCCAAGTGTGGGAATGACAGCAGATGAGGCATGTGGCAGCCTTCTGGAGCACCCACTGGCTGTGGCCTGCAGAGGGCTGAAGGCCTTGCTAATGATCGTGTGAGCAACTGGGGTCCTAGTTCCCACCAAGCCGCATTGTCAGGTAGCGGGTCCTGGCAGTTCCCCGGATGGTGGGGGCTGCACTGCCATGTGCATTGTTTCTAATTGCTGTAGGAACCCTCAGCAGTGACAGTAGTTGTTTTGCTTCCTGGTCATGTTTGGTCCTGATTCCAGGGTGCAGTCAGTAGTCCACTCTAGAACGGACCTTGTCTGTCTCTAGCTACAGAGCAATGATAGGATCCCAAGAGTGACTCCTGTCTGGGGTGTGGGAAGCTGGCAGAACAAATGAAAGCTTTGCATGGATAAGGCCAGTTCATCATCTGTCTTCAAACCCTTATATACGTTTATATAAGTCTATTCAGTGTAGGCTTAGCTGTAAACAGCTTAGCTTTAAAATGCCAGCTGATGGGTTACAGGCAGGGTCTCCTCAGTCTGTTTTTGGCTCACCTGCCCATCTTTGAAGGGCCCATTGTTTTCCATGCAGTGATGCCCCCTTTTGGGAGCACAGCTACTTGCCCATGTCTTCTCTCGCTCAGTCACATTCCAGAGGTGGGGGTGCCACATCCTTGCACCAAGTAACCCTCCACTTTCCTGCCAGGAGAGATCCTGGAATCCCAGCATGGGGTCTGCTTTGCATTGCAGAAGTGTGGCTGAAACCTGTTGCTGACTGAAACAGTGGGTTCTCAGTGAGAAGTGATGCCAGCTGCCAGCCAGGGAACAGGGAGCATAGGCCATTGGTGTGGGGTGGTCGGGCATGGACAGTCTTGGACCCTGAGCATCTTGCTGCTGGTAACTCCAAGTCACCAAATGTCATCACAGAAGGGGATGGTTCGTATCTTAGGTTTAAAGAGACAAGAAAGTATATCATAGGTTTTTAAGACATTCATCTGAAATGGAAGCTGTTCAGTTTGGGGCTTTATTACAGTAAACCCACAGCTTTTAGAAAACTTGCAGACCATCTCTACCAATTTTGGAGAACAGAAGGCTTAACTTATGTAAGTTTCCCTAATCACCAGCTTTCAGGGCCATTTGCTTGCTGTTTGATGTTTAGAGACCAGCCCTTCAAAAATCAGTTCTATAGTTCCAGTCTCCCTTTAGCTCTTCTCCCCCGCCCCCAAAGGCTATGATGGAGAATAAGAAGGCTTACGACCCATCAGGAGAACGCTCACAGCAGATGAGCCCCTGCACCTAACAGCGCTGCCCTCGAGGCTGTGACATTCAAGACTTGGTCAGGTGCTGCTGGCCCATAGTTTCTGGGTGGCCTGAAACATGGGAAGAACCCATCAGATGCTGGTGTTCTCTCCGTTCCAGGCATTCCACAGCCATGATGAGTCAGTGCTGGCTCCCACGAAGTCCCAACCAAACTGCGTTACTCTTTCCATGTCAGTGTTTGATGTGAGTCAGCCCAGATTGTAATGACTGGAGATGGTGACCTCCTGCTGTGTGAGTTGTCAGGACTGTGTTTCTAGGCTCCGGGCTGCACTTCTGCTCAGGACTTCTCGCTCTGAGAGGAAGGGAAGAGAGGCCGGCTGTGCCGGCGTGTGCTGCTCGTGCAGGCGCCGGTCTGGGAAGCACAGCCTCGCCTCCGCAGCTCCAGGCTCGCTGTGCAGTTCCCTTCTAGACTTACCACTGATAATTCTTACTGTTGATGTTGCTTATTTAATACGAGGCTGTTTTTCCCAAATTGCAGGCTTCATAGGGGCAGGAATTTTTGTCTTTTTTTGCTTACCTGGGTGTGTGGCAACTGTTCAGTCTAGTTCTGTCCAATAGAACTTTCTGTAACTGAGTACTTAAAATGTGACTTGTGCGACTGAGAGAACTTAAAATAAGATTTTAAAATCTTATCTTGGGCCAGCCCGGTGGCGCACTGGATAGTGCGCCGCTTGGGAAGCGCGGTGACGCTCCCGTCCGAGGGTAATTTATTTAAGTTTAAATATATGTGACTAGGGACCACTGAATTGGACAGTGTAGGCATAGTTCAGTACTTGTCACATATGTGCTGACCAAGTGGATTTAAATTTAGAAAACAAAGCCATATAATTTTTAGGGCATGTGATGTTCACTTTGCAGGAAAATCTGGGTGAAATACTTATTGGTGGAGGGGGTGTGAGGGGGAGATGGGGTGGGTAACCCAGTACCCTGTAAGGGACAGGACAAAGGGGGGTAACCGGCACTGGGGGAGGGTGTTACCCAGGGCTCTAGATGGAGGGGGATAAGCATGGGGGTCACCTAAACAGTGGAGGCAGATGAGGGGTGGAACTGTGGGGACAGGGTTTGTTCCCTTTCTGCTGGGTTTGCCCCTGATGCAGGTGTGTTCTGGAGACTGCTCCTCTTGCTAAGAGGGCAGTAGGGGTCAGCCAATCTGTGTGTCCCTGCCCTACAGGGCAGGCTGAGAGGCCGGGGTGAGCATGTTGAAAACACAGAGTGCATCTTGCCACATGCAAATTGGTAGCTTGACCCCTTCGGTCAAGTTGTATTTGCTGTATGTGGAGCCTGTCTCTCTACTGAGTAGTGTCTGCCTATTTATCTAATGAAAACAAAACATAACACTCTGCCTTCCACAGAAAACCTTATGCTCATTTACTCATCTACATTTTGGTAGCTTAGAGCATCTTCACCTACAAACACGGTTGTTTGTTCTTTCAGTCATTCAGTCCTAGAAGTCCTAGAAGGTTCATCTGCACTTTTGCAGAAAAATCATAATTGCTTCTTTCAAATTCTTGAAATGATACTTGGATTCTTTCTGGTTTTTTGAGACCAGAAATGAAATTGTATAACGTGGCTTTGTGAAAATGCCCCCTTTCTCCTCTGAAGCCTCGTGTGGTGTCCTGCACACAGCCAAGTCCTCCTCAGCCCGTGCTTAGCCTTTAAGGAGAGAAGGAAGAGCCGAACATTATTCCTGCTTTAAATCATTTCTATCAAAAGTGCAAACATTCTCAGCACACTTTAGAAGTGACAGCTGTCAAAGCCGCAATCTTCTGATGGATTTTAGAAAGTCTGTGTGCTTTATGTTGTCTGTGTTTTAGGAAATTATTTCTGCATTGAACTTATGCTCTTCATAGCACACATTATTGCTCAAAGGTTTGAAGAGGCTTTTTTGAAATAATACACATAAGAATAAGAAAAAAGTTAAGTCAGGAGTAGGGCATGAGAAACAGTACAGATATTATTCACACCATAACATCCTGCATGTTCCCTAAATTGAGCTACTACTCTGGCCTTAGGAAGCAGTGTGACCAGAGTTTTCTTACTGTCTGTGGCAGAAAGCATAGCAGTTCTTTGGGAAAAGAAAAACATTTTCTTGTATTTTTGTCCTCAGCAGCATTCATAGAAGGTTGTTTGATGACTTGGATATTTTTAAAGGAGACTTCCTGGAGTAACAGTGTAGGAGTTAAGAACGCAGACTCCAGCCAGACTCCCTCCAGCTGTGTGACCTTAGGCAAGTTGTTGACCATCTCTGGGCCTTACTTGCCTCATCTGTGCCAGAGAGAATAGTACTTGCCTCATAGAAGTTGGTCGTGTATAAATAAACTTATGAATATGAAAGTCCATGAGCGTGTCACATAGGAAGCTCATTACAGATGTGCTTAATAATACAGTGTATTATTAAAATACAGTAGGATTTTCCTATTTTGATTAAGAACATGGCTCCAAGTTAATTCAGCTGCTTGGGTTAAATTCTTAACTGTGACAGTGATTCACTTTATGATTTGAGACAAATGATGGTAACCCCTTGTGACTCAATTCCTTCACCTCAGTAAAAGGGACATAATAACGCCGTCTCATTCAAAGCGTTCTTATCAAGATTGAATGAGATCTCACCCATGATATTTTGCACAGTGCCTAGCAGTTAAGTGCTCAATAGATGTTACATACTACCAGGATTGATAAGTTGATTCATATTATTATTGTAATATATTATTAATTTATGCTGTGTATTTGGTCTTGATAGAGTGTTTAAGTGAATGTTTAAGTCATCGAATCTTACAGTTACTTTGCAATTACTTTAGGAAGATGAAGTCATAGATGAAGGGTAGAAAATAATTTTGGTCACATATGTGAAGTCCTATTTAGTGGCAGTTGCACATTTTTTTTTAAGGGTTCCTTGGCAATTTGAGGTTCATGTTTAATCTTTAATCCATGCACAGAGACTGACAGTATGTGTTTTCACAGTAGAATTTGTGACATGGTCAGGAGTGTTCTGGTTCCCCAGGTTTGGTTTCTGCCTTGTTTTAATCTCTCATAGACAGTTCTTTGAAAATGGGGTGATTGGGGGGTGAGGGAGGCAACAATTCTACATGGTGCTTGGTTGCTGCCTGGTGCCTTCTAACCCAGACTCCCTGGGCTTGCCCCAGCCAGGCCTGCTCCTCGGGAGATCCTGGCCCTTGGGAGAATTTTGTCAAATGGTGAATGCTAAGGAACAGGTCATGAACAACTATGACTTGTGAAATTCAGTAAGTATTTGGGCAATGCTGGCTTCTTGTTCAAAGGGGCTTCAGTCAAGGCTGGAGAATTGTGGAGGCTTGGTCTGGGCCTCAAGGCCTAGGGGTTTTGTTTCCTAGTGCAAGTATGGTTTTCAGTAAGAGCAAGTCTCTATTATGTTTCATTTTGTCCTTTAAATTGTTGAGGATTAGATTAAATAACTGCCCAGTCTTGTAGAGATAAAGAATTTATAGCTCTTGGAAAGTATGTTCTTCTATCTAATGGAAACCCTTCCCTCCCTCAACAACGGAAGGAAATGCCTCACAAAGCAAGGCTGTGAGATTTGCCTTCTGTAAATCTTAGCCCAAGTCCTAGAAGGTTGGGGGAGGCGTGCTGCCTGGCTTTTGCGGGGAGTGGGGATTGTTACTGTCAGTCAGAGGATTTGGGGGCCAGCTTCTCTGGGACCTCAGTGTGACAGCCCAGCTCCAAATGGCAGCAAAGCACAACACAGGCCATGCAGCCTCTGTATATAACAATTTCTCCAAAAGTCAGTTGTTACAAAGTCGGGTGTGGGGTGCTGTCATTTCCAGAGTTTGTTTTTTTAAATCATAAAAACCCTAATTATTTTTTACCTTTTAGATAAAATGATTGAGGAATTTCCACATTTCAGGTGCACCTTTACTTTCATTCTTTTCCTTTCCCGCTGACCAAGGTGTGTCCATAGAGTCTCCAGTTGAGGGTCAGACATCACTGCCTTTGTCACATCTAATGGTTTCCACACTGGCCCCAATTAGATGATATTGATGAAACCCTGCTGCTTACTATTAGTTGGCACTTTCTTTTCTTTTTCTTTTGTTTTCCTCTAATTTTTATAAAAGGAAAGGCCAATATACTAGGAAATAAATTGCACAATTGAACACAGGTGTACAAGCCACTGAGCCACTCTGCCCCTGTCCCCCGTCCCCCTCTTAGCTGGCAGGACGTGCGTTGTGCAGGTGCACCCTGTTGTGCTACTGTGGGTGGTTTTAGCCTGGGAGGACAGTCTGGGTCATTGGTGTGTAACGTGGGTGGCCGCCTGCTGGGGGGTAGCCTCTGCATGCACTGACCTGTCGCTCTTCTCTCCAAGACTCCAAATTGGGTCCAGAAGCAAGTGAGGGTGGGAATGCCAAGCCGTTCTCTGCCTGGGTAGCACATCCCCATGTATTTGAGAGACAGATCTGTGGTAAAACTTTATAAACAGCCCTGTTTATGGAATGACTGTGTTCCCAGTAAATTGACAGTTGAATTTTTGTAAATCAAATCTTTGCCCAGAGAACTTTAATATGTAAAAGATTCCTGTGAATGATCCATTTTATGATACAAAAAACTGTATCTCACCAATGTTTCCAATGAGTTCAGATTGTTGAGTATCCATCAGGTTTCTCTTAAAATGAACACTGCCATTACAAACCTACTCTTGCTCTGAAGACAGAGGACAGTATTGCTGGGTGAAATTATTCAGCTTGTCAGAAAATATGTGCTTTCACGGGAATGTAATTCACAAATGCCATCTTGTTAAGGATTTTGCAAATAAAGAAATTGTGTCCAATTTGAGTCTTAAGGAGTGCCATGTGTTCTCAGTGATTGTAGAGCTTCCATTTCATACCAAGTCTTTTTTTCCTCCTCCTCCTCTGTTTGGCCAGAACACAAGGCATCACCCCACTGGCAGGGCTCTCCTCCCACCCTGGGCCCCTGCCCTCCTTTTCTCTGGTCAGGCAGCGGGCAGTGACCCTCTTTGGAGTGTGGTGGTCAGCTCGGAGGCCAGCCTTCTCAGCGGAATAGTTGGAATTCCTGAGATTAATTTTGCCCTGATTTTGTTTGCTTAAGCATGTAGTTGACTGTTCTTCAGTCTCACTTGTTTCCGAATATGGTATCTGTAAGTCCTTGTGGCAGCTGAAACTTGAGATAACATCCTTTCATCAGGAGTTTGCAGGGATGGGGCCAAAAATAGGCAATCTGAGTAGAAAAAGGAAAACACAGACCTGTTGTCTGTTTACATCATTTGTAACTGAGAGCCTCATCAGGAATTTGTGTGTAGAACGTGATCTGTTTTAGTCGCAGGCAAAGTCTGCCTGTGCTCAGAGGTTCTTAATCACCTCCAAAGGAAGTTGATCACCACATACACAGCAAGTCAGACCGGGAGGATGGATTCCAACCCTGTCGCCAGGCCTGGGGAAGTACTCTCGCGCCCCTTGTCAGCTGGTGCAACTTCTGGCTTCTCTGAAACCTCCATAAAATAATCAGTCCCTATTTTTAGTGCTGGGCTGTCATTTCTGATGTACTGCTGTTGGAAAAATTCAGTAGCAGCTGCAACAGAAATCCCGATTTAAAGGTCCCAAATATAGTGGGGATGAAACTTGTTTACCAAATAAAACAGTGGAATGCTGTGGTAGATCTCATCAAATGGAAGAGTCCCGTGTTTATTCCTCTCTGTGGAGTCCTGCATATAAGCTGGCCCTGTCCCCACCTGGAGCACACGTGCATATACATGTGTCTTTCTTTTGATTCAGTCCTTCTTCTGGTCAATTACATCCAGAGGAGAAGGAAGAGGAGGAGTTTCCTAAGTGGAGGAAAGTTGCAAAGGAGCAGCAGGTCCAGGTAGTGGCTCCATGCCCAGATCTTCCAGCTCAAGAACCACTCATTGGGGTCATGTTCAGGTCAATTCAGATAATGTATATTGTAGGGGACAAAAAAATAATTTGTCCTTACCTTTCATAGTTCTGAGTTGGGATGGACCCCTGTAACAAAAGACAGATTAACAAGAGAAAAAGAAACAGAAGGTTAATAACAAGTATACCTCATGTATACCTGGGAGATACCAGAGAATTGAGTAATTCTCAAAGAGGAGGCTAGACCGCAGGTTTAAATACCATTGCACTCTGTGTCAAAGATGAAGGGTATGGGGAAAGCACAGGTAATAGGGCAAGGTTTGCAAGGTAGGTTCTCCACTGATAGGAGTCTCTGCTGCTTCAGTCACCCTTCTCTTCCTGGCACAGAGAGGACCACACCCTTCCAAATGGAGATTCCCTTTATAGATGTAAATTTCTCTTACAGAAGGGAAACTCCTACTCTGTTTGCAAAGCTTCTCTGGTGTCTGCAGTTTCTCAAAATAATCAGCTCAAAATAATCCTTTTGCCAAAGAGGCATATTTTGGGTTGTCATATATTCTGGTCTCCTATAGCATAAAAGTGCCCTGAGTCCCATGTTATTAGGAATCATTAACATCATAGTGGCAGAAACAGATTGTAACAGGGATTCCAGTGCAATAGGGACCAGGACCAGCTTGCTTAGACACTCATAGTACAGACAGGATCACGTTGGCTGCTGGTTTTCAAACATTTTGGGTATGGGAATCCCAACCTCCACCCTAATACATCAGTAAAAAAAAAAAGCTGATATAAATACCATTCTGTTAATGCAAATATATGTTTAAATGTCTGCTCAGTAAGGACGATGAGCCTGTTTGCATGGCACAAATCTGAGTGGCACTTGCAGTCCAGATCAGCATTCTGCTTGCACTGTCTTGAGAAAAATCCACATTCCTTCAGATCATTGATGCAGATGGCAATTGTTATTAAAGATAGCTCTTCTTATACTTGTAAGAAATTCTTTGACTAGGCAGATAACAGGATAAGCATTATTATGAAGACCACCCAATGACAAGTTACTCTGGTCACCCATGTTCATGTGCTGGGCAGCCTCAGGGTATTAGAATTTAGTAACAGCAAATGTGGTAGAGGGTGTTGTGTTGAGGACAAATTTTTAAATAGTTAAGGTGCATTTAAAAAATGAAATTAGAATTAAACATTTGATGAACCTTTGGACTCTTCATACCTCTGATCTGGTTCAAATCTTTAGCTTTACAGTTGAGGAAACTGAAGCTCAGAGACCTCATGGATTTGCTAAGGCCGCACACGGCACCTGGGACTAGAACTGTGTTTTGGGGTCTCTTGTCCTGTGTTATGTCCTTGACCCCTGGCATACTGAGAGCCTTGGTGTGCAGGCCTTCTGCACCCTCTGCTAGGATGACTCCCTGAACACACCTTAGTGCCAACTCTGACTTCTCATGGGGACCTTGGCTGCTTTCACCAGTTATCTCCCTGGAGAGCTACAGGGGACTGTGTCCTGCTGCATGAAGTAGTGTTTTACCACAGAGAACTGAGGGGAACATACCATCAGAACCAGTTACGCCTCATGGAAACATACAGTTACTTTGCATGTTGTAACTTCTTGACAGCCAGCAGATGCCTGCTCCCTCCTGTGCCCACAGTAAGGCCTGGGAAGCTGGGAGTCAGTTCTCGATCTGTGGCATCCTCTGGTCCCCCCACCCACCCCCACTTAGTGCTGTCTGCTGTGAACAGAGATCAAGAAACTGAAGTCATCAATCAGGACAGAGCCCTTTAAACGTACTTCCCATGAGAAATGTGGTGACCTACTTCCTGAAAAGAAGCAGGCTGTTCTCCAGGCGGTTAGTGAGAATGTCCAGCGAACATGGAGATGGCCAGACCCACACACCGCTCCTGACCTCCCTGGGATGCATGTTCACTGTAACAAGGCCCAGTCTGTGATGAAGCCACTGAAGAAGGGACAGTTCCCTCACACTGAGGCTCACGCTCCCTGCCTCTGGGGAACTGAGGGCCAGAAGCGAATCAAGAATGAGCTTGCCCTTCTGGACAGATGGAGAAGGGGTGGTTTCCTGCTGTCTTTCTAGCCTACCTTTATATCCTTAGGTCCCCAAGGATAGGACAGCCTGGCATCGTCCCTCATTATGCTAGTCCCACCTCCTTCCTCACTTCTGGTGGACAAGGCACTGGGTTGGAGGTGGAGCTCAGATGATCTTTTGGGCAGATGTAGGTGCCTCCCTGTGACATGTGAAGAGGTGAAGTCGCCAGCCACACCGCACTATGACCCTAAGGACAGTCCCTGGAGACTTCATTCCTTGGAGGAATTGCTGTTTGTCACAGGGAGGTCAGGCCCAGATGTCAGGTTTGCATCCTTTGTGTGTGTGGCTCCTGGGGGTTAAGCCATAGCCATGCTGATTAGAAGCTGGAGAAGGTGCCACCAGAGGAGGTCACAGATCAGGAGCTTCTCCCCAGGCTTATCATGGGCACTAAAGGGAGCAGGCATCTGCTGGCTGTCCCAAGAGGGGTCTGAGGAGGGGAGAAGGTGCCACCAGAGGAGGTCACAGATCAGGAGCTTCTCCCCAGGCCTTATCATGGGCACTAAAGGGAGCAGGCATCTGCTGGCTGTCCCAAGAGGGGTCTGAGGAGGACAGATGGACCTAGGCATGTGTGTGGAAACCAGCACTCTTGAGCACTTGGTTCCCATGGTCTCAGCTGCCAGGACCTGGGGCTGTGCTGAGGTGCCTGGGAGACTGAGCCGGGTCCCACTCTTTCTAAAAGAAGGCCGACAAAGGCTCCTCTTCCACGACTGCTGTTGCAGTGCTCTGTTCCTGAACTGTGTATGAGCAGAGTCACCTCTGCATATTCGTTTGTGCTTTGTTTCTTTGAATCAGGGTGACGTTTGTGAGAGTGACCCATTCTGTTGCATTTAGTTGCATAGCTGTTATTTTTACTCACATATAGTACGAGTATGCTGTTGCTTGGCTGGTCCACGGTTTCTCAATGCATTCTGCTGATGGCCACCTGGGCTGCTTCCAGTCTGGGGCTGCTGTGAGGTGCACCCCGAAACTGACTCTGGGGATGTGTCTGCAAGTGGGATTGCCGGCTCATAGGGTACACACGTCTTTGACATATGGTGTCAGCCTGTTTCCAGAGCAATCACCCTGTCCTCACTCCCACCACAGCGTGTGAGCAAGCATTCCCGTTGTGCACGTCCATTTCCCAGTTACCTGGATTACTAACAAGGTTGGGCACTTTTCGTAAGTTCGCTGGCATCTGGACCTCACCCTTTGTGAAGGGGCTGTTTCTGTGTTTCCCCTTTTTCCGCCTGAGAGGGCTGTCTTACTCACTCGTAGGGACACTTTTCTGTTCTGGAAGCTGGAAAGGTGTAGCGTCGAGGCTGTATTTAAAGGCAGAGTTGCCCCGGCAGACGCCAGGAACAGGCTGCAGCTCACGCCCGGCCTTCTCCCTCCTCCCACGGCCTGCATGCACCTTCCTGAGGGGTGTCCGTCCCACGCCACTCAGCCCTTTCCTGTCCCACCGAAGAGCTCGTTGTCCTGGCCTGGGATTGTTGCTGCCACCTCCTCGTGCCCTTTCCTCCAGACAGTGTGAGTCACGTGACATAGCAGAAGCACCCCTTCCCACCTGTCCTCCATTTAAGATCGGGGAGCAGGAGCCCAGTCACTGATGTGAGGGTGTCATGGCAACGCTGTCTCCTGTTCTCTTTCCCTTGCTGTCGTCCTCCTTTTGTCCTCAGCTGACCCCCTGCAGCACCACCACGACCAGCAGCTCGACCATTAGTTATTTTGTAACCCATCATCCAGCACACCTGGAAGAAGAGCGGATTTGTCCTGCTCTTTGGAAAAGGAAACATGTTCCCTCCATCCAGCACTGTGACTCAGGCTGGTTTTTGTTTGTTTTTGTTTGCTTATTTTAAACTATGAGTGATGCATTGTCGCCTTTACCAGATGCAAGAGAGTGGGGACCCCCTGGAGCAGTGACCACATACCTACCCCACACCTAGTGTCAGGTCACACCAAAGTTACAAATACAAAGGATCTTATCATGCCCAGTATAAAAAGAATTTTCTAGACCCAAGTTGACATCACAGAATCATGTTTCTGCTGAGCCCCACTAACTGCATTGGTAGGAGCCGTGAGTGCTCCCCCCAGGATTTCGGCTTTTCTCCTTTGCATTCCCAAGAGCTTGGTTTGTACCATCCATTCCCTGTCGCCCTCTCAGCTTAGACCCTATGCTCTGGCTGATCCTCTCTCCTAGTCTCAGTGTTCTTTAAGTCACAGGAAAGTTTAGGAAGCATTGGTTAGTGCATAAAGAGCAGGAAAGCAGTGGGAATGTGCCATGTTCTGTGGTGGCGGCAATGTCACGGAGCGTGCCGAGGAGCAGCTCTAGGCTTACCCTGTGGATAAAGTGGTTCCTGCTGGAAACAGTGGTGAAGAGTCATTTGTCTGGTTTTTTGCTTGTTCTTCCAACCTTACCACTGTGCACGGTTTAAGGGCCTATTGCTGAGGCTGAGAATCTCCTTCAGAAAGCTTTGCTAAAAGTTGACCTCCATGAAGGGCAAGCCATTCACTAACCCATTGCTTGGGGGTGTGTCAGGTGAGCTTTTCCCACGTCCCCCTCCCCTGCCCCACGCCCTTCTACTGCGGGTACTTAGCTTCAGTGCCAGCCTGGGACCCATGTGACCATGCTCATGCCCCCACCCCCTGGTTATGCTTAGCTACCCGTCATCCCCCATTGTAGTGTCTTGTCATTACTTGTTTGTGATTGGCATCCCCCTTCTGCCAAATTACTATTTCTGCCTGGTGTGTGGATGTTTTGTAGATAGATATAGTAGTGAATTGGGCACGTTAAAAAGA